AGGGAGTAAAGTACCACTGTTGTTTTTGGCGTTCGGTTAGAGGAGTTAACAAAGAGCCAATGACACTGATGAATAGGACGTAATAGGCTGTTTACACTGTAGAGGAAAGTTAGCCAAAATCTGCTCTCTCTCAGGTCCAATCAGTCATTTTGTCCTCCGTTTTTAAGGTTGTTTCCGTGGAGATGTTTTGCCGGAAATGTTCCATAGTGTGACAGTCAAGCCGTGCATTGCTATGAACTGTAACTTGGCCTGGAGGTGTTACTCACTTTTTCAACTTTTAACCATTTTTATATCATTGTTCCCTCATTAGAAATATACCCGGAGTTGTATTTTCCTTCATTCACATTGGGCTCAGTAAAAAATCCTTCCTCTGAGAGTATATGCGGTTTTAATTTTCCCAGGATTGTTGCGTCACAGTTAAAAATCCTGCACAGTTTTTCAGTCCATAACATGTCAAAGCAAAGGTACTCAAAAGCAAATGCTATACTGTGGGGGGAAAAAAGCTTTTATCCATGCTATAATGTTTGTTTAAAAGAAAAACAAATCCAAGAAGTGCTCCTCTGTGTTTTTAAAGTCCATTGAAATAAGTATAAAATAAAGTAACATTTAAATGATGGAAAATAAATGAATACATGCACAAATATAAATAATAAATAAATAAATAATAATAATAATAATAATAATAATAATAATAATAATAATAATAATAATAATAATAATAATAAATCCATAAAATATAAATAAATATTGCAAATCTATGTTGGTCACTCAAAAAAAAAAAAAAAAAAAAAAAAAAAGAAAGTTGACTATAATAATTTGAATGAATTCAGATTCAGATATTTTGGTTTTGATTACTTGATTGGTCAAGTTTTGCTTACTTGATTGATATTTATGCTAAACATAAATAAATAAATATCCAAATAAATAAAAAACAATAAATAATAATCAAAACTGAAGAAACACCAAGATGTCATAGTATAAGACATAATGGGTTGATAGGTGTATAAAACCTGTATCAATTGTTATATTTTCAAAAACAATACATTCACTTTCAAATTTCCACATTTCTGCCTTATTTTTCCAAACTTAACTCCTCATAATATTTTCCATTCCCAAGGTCATCGCCAATCGCTCTGTTTACAGCAGCTTTAGGGCAAATCTCTTTAAGATAACGGCGCGAATGAAAACTGCTCGGTCTGATTGGATCTGCCTAAAGATAAGGCGTTATAACAGAATGGATGGTCTTAATTATAAAATTCTCTTAAGGCGTGTTTGATTCATTTGATTTTCACAATTGGATATTTAATTAAAAGGGCTCCTGGATATAATATTAATCTAGCAAGGCATAAAACATAATATTAAAGCATTATAACTTTGGTTCAGAATGACCAACACATGCAAGAATCCAATGACAGTTATGTTGTTTATACTTCAAATATTATACTAGTGTTACTGTTATTTGTTATTGCATATTTTAAAATCAATTTCGATACTAAGGAATAGACACGATACCATGATAATAAAAACACTCAACCCTCAACATTAAATCATAGTACTTTCTTTTATATTACCATGTGGCCTTATATATTTGTGTAATCCCTCAGTGGTCCAGGCAAGTTCCACAGTGATCCATGGGCGTATATTTTGTCTATGTGCTCTTATACGTGTTCTGATACAGCTCAAAATCATTTTAATTTAGGAAATTTTAGTTCAGGAAAGGTTAATTTCTTAGTATCGATACTTGCTCAAATTAATATCTAGTTTCGGTACTGTTTTTAGTACTGATTACCAGTAGTATACTCATTTAGAATATTCTTTTTCTTGTACCACATAAGATTGCTTAGATGTGTTCTTAGTGCAAAATATTATAATTGGCTCTATTCACGTTTACGTCACAAACCAGAAAGACGTTTGTAAAGATGTGATTACAACTTCCTAGGCCCAGTTTTCTTCATCTCCATGCCATTGTAGAGTTCCGTTATGTTCGGCTAATCAACAATTACAACCATAACTCAGTTTTCATCATTTCCCCACTGACAGACAACTCTGAGCGCACTTTGAAGAAATGAGAGCGCAGAATTCAAGATCATTCCGAACAGCACATATGTATAAAGTTTTCATTTTACCGCTGATCACATTTACTTCAATGCTTTTTATCACAGTCGGTTTTAATAGATCCATGTTAGGTGAACCCATTGTCAGGAACTACACTGGAAATTGTAATTGCATCTTTCCAAACGTCTTCATGGTTTGTGACGGAAGCGTGAGCCTATAAAACTAAACCTAAGTAAACTAATTAGTCTTAAAAAAGCACGAGCAAAGCCTAAATAGGTAAACTACAGATTGAGAAGAAGGATTCAGTGGCTTAGTATCTACTTAATTAAAGAGTTAGGTTTGAATCGTCTTTCTTCATGCATTAACGAAAGAAAAAAAATGTATTCTATCAACTGGATAAAAGTTTTAGTGTGAAGACGATTCGCAGCTCATCCAAGCAGCTTCTTTGGTTCTGGCTTGGCGCTGGTGGACACTGCCTCATATCTGCCTGAAGGGAGGGTCTAACTACACCGAAACTACACCGAAGCTACTCTGAAACTACCACACCTACTTGTTTACAGTTTCTGTTTGTCAGTTAGCTTTATTGAATCGTCCAAAGACACAGCTGTAAATAGAAGATAGATGATGTCAAAGCCCCTTATTCCTGTTCAAAGATGATTTTTTTAGGAAAATAATTCATCTTTGAACAGAAAAAACTGCCTCTTTAACTCCCCTCTCAAATAAGTGCTTTTCTTTGTCTAAAATCTGTACCTCCATATCCTCAAAAGAGTGATTATTGACTTTAAGATGGACATGTACAGGAGACTGGTGTCCTGAGCTGCTCTATCAACAGTGTTGGTAAATTCTGTTTCTCTTTTTTGGTTTCTTTTTTTTTTTTTTGGCTAAGGATCCTACCTGGACACCTGAGGGATTACACAGATTTCTCGATACTTTATTAACCCTACTGGAGTTACCCAAAATTCTTTACACATTTTCCTGTCTCTCCCTTTATCTTGTACCTCTCAGACATCATAATTTGATCTCATGCAGTCTGTGCTCTTGTCTACTACTCCCAGTCACTTTTCTTTCCATGTCCAACATCATATTACAGCCTTATCAGATGGAGCCATACACTCATCGACCACATGCTCTGGTGAGGCCCTGACCCTGTAAACCACTGCATACCAGAAAACTCACAGCAGACTCCTGTGACCAGCATGGAGACTTTTAATAGTTAGTAAAAATATGTTTCATTTCTTGAGTAAAGTACGAGAAAATACATTTAGATCATTGGTAAATAAACAGTGGAGAGATGAGGGGAAATCCAAGGCATGACAGAACTAATCAAACCACCAAATCTGGTCTGAAAAATAATCTTGGAAATATGTGTTTGACATTTAAGTTTAAGGCTATTTTATATTTGTTATTTTTTTATAGCTCACGTTGGGAGAAGTGGGTAGTCGGCGTACCCCCTCATACCACGCCCACCAGACCCCTGCATACAGGCTACAGATTGGAGACCCCCTGACCTTGAGGAAACATCTAAACATGTGCGAAAAACACTCATATTTTGTACGATTCTTAAACCTCAACTACTGGTAAATGGTCACATTTTTATTTAGCGCTTTTCCACCTTCAAGGCCATCGAAGCTCTTTACATCAAGGAACCACTCACCCATTCACACACACATTCATACACTGTACGCAGACACTAGGGATGAGGTGGGTTAAGTGTTTTGTCCAAGGACACAACAACCGCATTCATCTGTGGGAGCTGGAATCTAATCACCAACCTGTGGGTCAGTGGATCTGAGCGCTCAACTGATGCAGTATAACCTTCAGATCAGTGGACAAACACTCAACCAACTGAGCAAATAAAAGTTACGACTAATGAAAACCAACATTGTCTTGAGACTATTGGAAATTGCTGTATTTGTAAGTAAAAAAAAAGAAAAAGCGTATCCCAGACATGGTAGCATGAGGTGTTGCATAGGCTCCAGGAAGGGCCCCACGGAGCCTCCCAGCACCTCTGTAAAACCTGTCCATCACGGGGCCTCCGCATGTAGAGACGCCATTAATCATAAAACCAGACCATGTGTAGCCAAGACTCCGCCAACCGAACACCCCCACACCCCCACCAGCCACACCTCAGACCGGAGGTGAGGGGTGGAGGGGCTGGGGCGGTACAGAACAAGCCACACTTTTCACCACCTGATTCAGCCGTTTACAGAGCTCGCAAAGACGGCTAATGAAAATGGACAGTACAAATCGCTAGCCTCAAAGGATAACTGAAGTAATTTTTGGTCAGATGTAGTTTCAAGTAGTAGTCTCAATCTACTCTCCAGACTCGGCTCTATCATCGGCCGAGATTTTTACAGCCAAAAAACTCTAATCACCATTTAGTTTTTTATGTTTTCCAGAATTGTTGGTCAGCTAATGCAAAATTTCTGGTATTGCAATTCTGAATCAATCAAAATTCCAATTCCAAACTAGATTAAAGACCTTGTACCTGATTTTTTTCCCTTGTTGTATTTGAGGAAAAGTCATCTTGCCTCAGTAAATATAGATTGTACAAGCAGCTCTTGAGGTCAAAACAAATCATCAGTGTGCTGTCTGCATCAAGTTTCATCAGGAAGTGTGTGTTAGCATGCTTTATCATCGTGGCAAAACTCCGCCCTGGTCTCTGACAGCTGTGAAAAGGGCTCATAAACTTAAAAAATTTGTGGTGAATAATTTGAATGCACGAAATTCATAAAGGTAAATGAGGAATTAACTTTGGATCACTTCAATGAACTAATTCTGCTTTTCACATTCTACGACTTTAAATATCAGGTACAGAGTCTTTAATGCGAAAACCAACCAATCTGAAGACAACAACAAAGCCACGCTCACGTACACAGCGGCGTACATGCACACAGCGTTACACAGTGAAGCATGCGTGTGGTAAGAATAGAGAGTATACGTACAGTAGCTTGTCTTACCGGAGGACAAGCGTCGCTGGTGAAGAGGGCAGACTCCACTGAAGCAGGAGCAGCCATCACTGGAACGGCCACGCTGCATGGGAGGAGCCAACGAGCACTGGGGCTTCAGGAACCCTGGAGGTACACAAACAGAATATATGTCAGATACGTTTGGTTCGTTCACCAATATAAGATAGTAAAGTACATTTTGTGCTATGTTATGTTCGCCATATCATCTGCAAATATTGCGCAGGTTGTGTCACAGTTATTCACAATATTATGATTTCAAACTCAATTTTCATACCAAGGAAAATGTGAATTTCGGGACAAAATAAAAGTCTTTTTGATTATGTTATGTTGTTTTATTGTACTCAGTCACCCGGGGATTGAATCTGAAACCTTCTTGCTGTAAAGCGTGAATGTCAGCCGCCATCAACCCAAAACCCAAAGGCACTGAAGGATGCGTCAAATGCAGAGAACAAATTGATCTATGGGGACGATAAAGCGTACGTTACCTTCAGAACAAAATCATTCTAAAAGTGAAGGTTTAGAAATGTTCAACTGATGCAACTGGAAGACAGATCAATGTAATTTCTTAACTGAAGTTTTCGGTGTGAATCGAACATTCTATAAACTATAACTATAAGGAGAACTGTTAGACAAAATCCAATATGTGAAAACCCCTTGCTGCAAATTTCCAAATAATTGCAATAATGTACTTCCACAATATTGAATTCACCACAGAACTGACTCATCATAAGTTAATCGTACTCCTGACCACCATCTTAGCCCAAGATCTGGAGAGAGTCCCAAGTCTCTGCACTGGGATAGTCCACTGCTCCTGACTAACAGAGTCAGCTACTAACTAAAATTAACAAATAAATACAAATAAAACATTAGCAGGACTGACAATGCTCTTTTCAATAATCAAGACATCCAAAATGAAACATGTACAAACAACATTTCTTGGTTTCTTGCACTGTAACAGTTTCGTCCGTCTCAACCATATTGTTTGTGTCAGATCAGTATCTCTTCTCTTACTTTTTGAAATAATTATACAGATATAGGCTCTATTCACGCTTATGTCACAAACCAGGAAGACGTCTGGAAACATGCGATGACAACTTCCGGTGTAGTTACTGACACTGGACTTGCCGACTGTGATAAAACTTGTGCTGTTTGAAATTATCTTGAATTTGGTGCCTCATCTCTTGTGTGTGTCAGTGTCACTGGGGAAATGATGAAAACTGAGGTACGGTTGTAATAGTTGATTAGCCGAACATAAAGGAACACTACAATGACATGGAGATGAAGAAAACTGGGCCATTTTCTCATTATTCCTAGATTTGGTCAGACTTTCTATCGTGAACAGAGACCGCCAGAAGTTGCAATTGCATCTTTCCAAACGTCTTCCTGGTTTGTGACTTAATGTGAATAGAGCCTATTGCAAAAGCCTAGAGGGTCCCAAGTCTCTGCACTGGGATGGCCCACTACTCCTGACTAACAGAGTCCACTGCTAACTAAAATAAAGTAAAAATAGCATGACTGACAATGCTCTTTTCAATAACCATTTATAACAACATCCAAAATGAAGCACGTAACAACATTATTTGGTCTCTTGACCTTTAACATTTTCATCCTTTCATCCAGTTATATTTTTAATCCCCGAACCTAGGCCCCTAGCCAGGGATTGGTCAGGAATTGGAATATACTAGACCACAGGTGTCAAACATACGGCCCGGGGGCCAGATCCGGCCCTCCAAGACCTTTAATGTGGCCCTCGGCTGATTTTCTATTAAAATATTTTAATTATATTTTCTATTAAAATATTGTTAATTTTCTGTGGTGTTTATCATAGCAGTGTCTCCAGCGTCTGTACGTGGCCCCTCCCACCAGAGCAGCACAAATGAAGACTTGTCTCTTTCCAAACGCTCTTAAAGGACGATCGTTTTGACTGTTGACCGTGACACCCTCATCAGCAAAAATGTCACAAATGAGAAAAGTGGAGCCGAGTGCAGGATTTTCCAACAAAAATTGACTTATTCCTATTTGCATACAATTTATTTTTTGCTTTAAGTTTGCATTTTTCTTAAAGTTTCAGGTTGTTCATAATATTATAATATTTTGTAAAAGAAAGAGTTCATCACTTAAAAAAGATTTCTGTAATAGATTTGTGTTTCTCTGCACAAATATTTGAACTTATTGTTATTTTTGGGGTTTATATGACATGAGTTTTCTGATCCGGCCCCTTTGGGATCAAGGTAGGTTGGCTACGGCCCCCGGACCAAAATGAGTTTGACACCCCTGTACTAGACGGTTTGCAAAAACCCCAAAAGTGCGAGTCCAGGCACCAGCATTTGGAAAAAGCTTATTATATCAGTTAACCCAGTTAGCGGTGCATTACATACGTCCCGACCAAGTAGCAGCGATTGGTTAAATGAAAAAAGCACCTGCCTACCGTCAAGCGAACAAATTCTTATGCTGCGAGATCAGACGGTTTCCACAAAGTGAAACCGGTTGATGAATCAAGCAACAAGGCCCCTAACAACCACCTGAAATAATCAGACAGATATGAAGAATGCTAGCTGGAGCTAATAGGAGCTAATCCTCCAGCTAGGTACTCCTGAACAATAACTTAGCCTTAGGTCTGGGGAGGATCCCAAGTCTCTGCACTGTGATTGCCCACTTCTCTAGACCAACAAAGCCAACTGTTATCTAAAATGAACAGAAAAAAAACATTAGCGTGACTGACAATTCTCTTTTCAATAACCTTTATGAAGAAATCCCAAGTGAAACATGTTACAACATTTCTTAGTACAACGCTTACCCTTTACCCTCTAACATTTTCATTCTTGTCCCAATTATTAACCCCAAGACCTGAGCCCCAAACAACCACCTATCACTTGTGTCAGAACAGTGCCTCTTCTCTTAGCCTACAATTTGAAATAATCAGACAGATATTGCAAAATGCTGGTTGGGTTTTGCTCCGAAGAAGGCCAAAAGGAAGGAAGGTTAGCAACTCGGGGCGGGCGAAATGCCAAGATGAGCTGGGATGCCTGGAGGGCCTGAGATCCGCGCCGAACTGTCTGTTTCTGAGGTCACCGGGGTCAATCCCAATAGGGAAGTCATTATTTCGTACAAAAGGGGAGCCCATGCTCGCGATGAGGCCCTCTGGACAACATTTTTGACATCATTATAAAGGAGATGGGAGGGGACGACTCAAATCTGTGCCAAATATAGATTTATTTGAGGAAATTGCATGAATCGTCCCTTGTGCGGTATGTCATGAGCGTAGTTTTTGCCTTGGTGATGATTGATAGAATTTTGTAGCAGCGCAGGCAGCCAGTCAAATGGATGGATGATAATATCTGGCCTATAAAGATTCTGATTTATTTTTGCTAATCTTTTAAAGTTGCATAAAACATTCAAGATCTTTGATAACATGTTTCGTTTTGAAGTCAACGAGATGGTACGATATGTCCGATTTGACAATTGGTAAATTATGATTACTTGCTATTGCATTTGTTGAAGTTAACCAACCCAAAATGGACGCGGAGTTATCTATGGCACTTGACAGTCTTGACAGAACTAAATCAAACATAAGAAGGACTAAACCATGTGTAAACTTTGGATCTCAAGTTATAAAATCAGTGTTAAGATTCTTGTGTGAAGAAACATCACAATTTAACAATGACTGACATCATAACTAAACATTCCAAGCCGGGAAATTCTTGATTCTCTTTCAATAACATTCTCTAATGGATCACTAATCACCCAGCATGTCACAACGTTTATGATCTCAAACTTTCAGAATAAAATATTGTGACATAAACAGATTTCAAGTTACTTATTTTGGCTTCTCGTGATTTTTTTTTTCTTTCTTTACGAATTACAACTAGATTAAACAGCAACTAAATGTCAAAATTTTAAACCAAACCAGATGACTGTGCCTTTAGTATCATAGTTCGTTTTTTTTTTTTTTTTTTTTTTTCAATAGACAAGCACTTTTTATACAGGCTGAGGGTGGTTATAGTATTTTTTCACAACCATTCATTAACTAATTTAAAAATAATATTCACCGCATCAAATGTCCAATTGTACAAAAGGCCCATATTATGATATTTTCTAATCTATGTTATAATACTAATAATAAAACCTGGAATAATAATGCTTGGTGTTGTGTTTTGTTTCGTTCACACATGTTTAACACACAAATCCTGCATATTTACGCTGAGTTCTTTCTCAAACTGATGTCATGTGGTAATACAGGAAGTGCTCCACTGTGTTTTTAAACTCCATCCAGGCTCTGTTCACCCTTACACAAACCAGGAAGACGTTTGAAAAGATGCGATGATAACTTCCGGTGTAGTTCCTGAAACTGGGCTCACCGAACAACTGTAAGAAAACCCACTGATGTTTGTGATCAGCGGTAAAATGAAGACTGCAGACGTATGTGCTGTTTGGAATCATCTTGAAATTGGCTCTCTCATCTCTTCTAATCGCATGTACCCAGTGCGCTCGGAGTTGTGTGTCAGTGGGGAAATGCTGAAAACTGAGGTACGGTTGTAATTGTTGATTAGCCGAACATAACGGAACTAGGGGTGTCAAATTATCGCGTTAATTGCGATTAATTAATTACAGTCATATTTAGCGTGTTATGTTTTTTAATCGCGTTAATCTCATTTTTAATCTCTAACTTTAGTGTTTCTGTATGTGAGTTTGCTTTATTATAAAACCTGTTTTTATGTGTTGTTGGGACAACACACACACGCACAAACAAAAAACACATTTATACATTTTTTATTTTCGGCAATTCCACTCATTGTCGGAAACCCGCACAAAAACACGCGCAGTAAGAGCGACGTTTACGGCGTCAGTCGCACAATGGACGAGGTGGAAGAGCCAGTAGAACAGAGGCAGCAGTGCACAGGTAAAAACGCATTCGTGTCTTGGAAATTATTCTCCCGACGTGAAATATAAAAGAAAATAACAAATATAATATTGCCTACAACTTAAATGTCACTGGTGAAAACAACCTGCATAGACTCATGATGTCTGCACTACTGTCCTATAGTGACCTGCCACATGAGGGGACACGCACACAAAACACACACAAACACAAACACACACCTTCA